TGAGGAAGAAATGAAAGCTTGTATGTAGTCGTGGAGCCAGGTTCAAAAGACTGCAGAGAAGAGAGTGAAGTGGCGACGTGCTACTGAAGCCCTATGTTCCACTAGGAACCCAAGGGAAAAAAATAATACAATAATAATAATCACATCAAGGTAATCACGAAACTTTTTGGCGTAGTTTTTATATTTTTACTGCTTTTCATTCTTCGATTTAATTGAAAGTGAAATTCTCCATAAGAATGGACTTAGCATATTACATCATTTTTATTACAGTTGTCGATTTGACAAACAAAATAAGTTATCAATTCCTCCACGAGGACTGATGTGGAAGACAGAAAATCAATGTCAAAAAATCAAACTTACAAAGAACTTATTACTGCTCAGCAATTACTCCGCAAGTTAGTCCAGAAACATATTAGGAGTTGTAAGAAAAACACTAATATTAATAATAATGACACGAGAGGGAAGGATTTCAAAACCTCCACAGTTTTTTCATACAGAAAACAGAAATAAGAATACCTGAGTAGAATTCTCAATAAGACCATGATAAGAGTGGCGTCAACACCTAGAAACTCACTACGTCACAAACTTTTTCGGCTAAAGTACCCTATCGAGCCTACTAATTAAAACAAAGTGGTGCACCAAATACCACACAATGACTGTGCGGTCAGGCTGAGCTGAAGTGGGACAATTAGTTCAGCAGAACATGGAACCTAAAAAAATCTAGAATGGTAGACCACACCAAAACAAGAAATCTAGAAAAGAGACTAGCCATAACCATGGATGCTGTCAAACAGTCACACAAAAAGATGGTATAGAGTGACAATTTTAAGAGAGTAATTGATAACTAGTGTTTTGTATGTCAGATCGATAACTTCAATGTAACCGCTAATTGAATCGAAGAATGAAAAGCAGTAGAGAAATAAAAAACTAGGTCACAAAATTGTGTGATTACCTTGGTATGATTAATAACAATAAATTATGGTCGAGAAATCGCCAGTAAATAATACTGTTGCACATAAAAAAGGAACTATGGCGGGATTACACTCCATCAGTGCCCGAGTCCTACACATGAAGGTAAATTTTAATGAAATACTCAGTGTACGAAAACCGACTGATTTCTTCCTACAAGTACTACGTCAGAAACAAAGATCTCTCGATATTCACTCAATCGACATTTATTGCCTTATCTTCTGAAGTATAAGCATATTTTTTTCCAGTCACTTGAGTTATAAACGTGACGCCAGTTCATGATCTGCAGACTACATAAAAACCACTTGTTAAATCATTGAAAATCATGTCATCAGAAGGAATTGCAACATGCAACTACCATTAACATGAGGACACTGAAAACTAGCACTCATACACATACAACTTCGTCATAACCGTTCTGCATCAACTGCAGAAATCGAAATTACACAAATTCCTCCTATTTTATGATGACTGAAATGAGAAATTGTGCATAATTTTTCATCAATAAAAATCGTATCTTAAACTTCACAACAGCCTCCAGAAATGATAAGTGCACATAAACAACTGAGATAACCGAATGCAAAAATCTGGCTACCAAAATAGAAAAACCACTTACAGAAATGAAGATGGTTTCTGCGGAAAAGTGGAGAGTAGTGTATGCTTTACCGTCTAGTAACAGAATAATTCCTAAACAAAAAATAACGAACATCGTAGGACATAGTTCATCAATACAAACTGATCAGGTAGGCGCTTTAAGTATTAGACTTTAACTTAGAAGCTTGCTGAGATTTTACGAAAAAAACTATTTAAAAGAAATCAAGAGTTCAGAATCTCAGCAACAAGCACCACATTACGTAACATCAGCCAAGCCTAAGTAGCAAGAGTCAAGTGTGATACAGTGAAATTAGTCAATATCAACATAAGAATTGGCACTGCTGCGTAACTGTCAAAGCTGTCAGACCTAATATAAGCACATCCAGAGAGATCGCATCAGGAGGAAACATGGAGAAGTAGGAAAGAAACCAGTCTTATTGGTGGAAGTCGTAAAAATAGGAGGACAAGAAGCAACAAACATCGACGAAATTCGGCATGACAATTAAGATGAAAATAGTATATGGATACACCTATGCCACTGAGATCGATTCTGAGACATACCATTTAGAGTTTCCCACCACTGATTTTGGTTGTCACATGGAGCTCAATGGAGAAATCTTTGGTTTCCTAAACGGCTCAGACCAACACTCAAAGACATACACAGAACAAACGCGACTCCCTGCTAAGTCAGTGGTGTAGGCCAGTAAATGTGCAAAAAACAACCGTTCACCACTGCACCAGATGGAAAGCAAAAACAACAGAAATCACCACAGGGACTCATAATAACAGCATCAAGCTACACAAAAAGTAATATTTTAAAAAAGCGTAAGTCTTTAGTCTCTATATACGCTACTGGCCCAATGAAAATCAAGTTTGAGTGTAGCTTAGTAAACATTGAAAATCAAACGACAACCATATGGAAAAAACCTCAGTTACCCCTGACTTCATAGGGATAGATCTACTCGCTGGAGGGCATCTGATTGATTTGGAGTACGTAGATAATAAAATCCTGCTGGGTGAAGACACTGACAAGATGCAGAGTTTTGTGAAAGCTTCGAGTAGAAACTTAAGTATGTTTGACCTGGCAAGTGATGCTCCAGGACAGGTCTGCAACCACTCCCGAAATAATGATATAGTGAATGAGTCGATGAATTCACTTACTTGAAGAGTTACAGCAGCCCAAACGGTTTGGATGTTGATGAAATCTCAGCTCGGATACAGAAGGCTTATTTTGGATTTGCCAATGTGTCTATTTTACGCCGGTTGGCGACATTCAACAACTCAGTAGTAGACGCAATCCAATTCACTTATCAGGTAGAAAGCGCACAAGGAGAATTACCTATGTTGGATTGAAGAATAAAACGAAGAACAGACAGTGGTTTGAAGACTAACGTCTACGGGAAACCGATATATTCTAATAGGTATCCAGACTTCAGGTCATCTCATCCAATATCAGTTAAAGCGGGTTTAGGCGAATGTCTCAATGACAGAGCTAAAAAACTCACTAGTTAGTGTAAGAAAGTAAACAAAGAATTGAAACGCGAAAGAAGTGTTATTAATTAATAAATATCCTCTACAGTTTATTAAGAAATGCAAACGAATATAAAAGAAACAAAACGATAACAGTAATATGAATAGGAACCAGAGTAACAACACGAGGAGAAATAAGTTCAAAGCCTCTATTGTGTTACCATATAAAGAAGAGACATCAGAAACTTTACGTAGGATTCTCAACAACAGATGATCCAATTAAGCAAAATAATCTAATCTACCAAATTCCATCCAATGACAGTGAAGTCAAGTACATAGGTCAAACTACCCGGTCGAGGTCAGTTAGATTAGCGTAACAGAATTTAGCTAAATATACAATGACTGACTCCAATAAGATCAATAATCTAGAAAAAAAACTCGGCTATTGCAATCCATGTGTCAACACAGCTACAGAATAAGGTGTGATAAAACCACTGTACTAATGTCAAATATAATTAGGTAGGAAGAGAGATTGAATAATGAATCTTTGTTCACCGAATCTACACTTAACACATGATAGTAATAATACAGTATCTATACTAGAGATATAGGAAATCTTATTACCAATAAAAACAGAATATCAGGTGACGGGACTTTAAAAATAAAGTGTCAAAGGTAGTGTGATTACATTGATATGATTATGAGCAATAATTCATGCTCGAAACGTCGTCAGGTAGATTTCACTGTGCAATATATATCAAACAAATAAATATAATACGGGATTACATCCTATCAAAGTGTCCAAGTTTTACACTTACAGTGAAGTCCGTTCTCTCCTGTTATACGGCTGAGACAAGGGCGTTGAAAGCAGAAGATACAAAGAGATAACTACGTTTTGATCGCAGGTGTATTCGTACCATTGCTTGCTTGTGGTGGAATCAACATATTAGCAATGTCCAGGTTAGCTGAAAGGTACTAGACAACTCAGTCGATGAGGTTGTGAACTTCTGTCCACTAATGAAGCTTGGACATGTGTTACGTATGCCGGGCTACCGCCTATCTCGACGTGAGATGCAAAAGGAAATTAGATTAGATTGGAAGAGGGTTCAGGATGGATAAACAAAGACGTAGCAATAGTGCTTGGAATACGTTATTTTTTCTGACCTGTTTATGAAGGTGCAGAATACCTGACCGAGTTCCCTGAGATGACAAGAATTAGTGGTTGAGAACTTTTGTTGAGATGTTTGATGAGTCGGCCACAATGGTGTAGATGCATTCACTCTTTGAGGTCTTCTCCTCTCTCATAAACACACAAACCTTTGTCTACTTTGATAGGTCTTTTTTTTACCTACTTGCTTTTTTATGTTACTGCGAAGTGTGGCAACTTGAGATGATGCACTTCTGAGTAAGATTCTATTTTGATTTTCTATCTGAAATCCATTAGGTGGTTTAAAATACCGCACTCCACAAAATACCGGAAAAATGTTAGGCAAAGAAAAGACCATTTGAAATATCTGTACTTTCTAAATAAGATTTGTGTGAATCGATCTATGCAGCTGAATAAATGAATAACAATGTCGATAACATAAAAAAAGTTTTGTACATGTCACTGAATAACCCCTAACAGTTGTTATCGATCATAAGAACTAGGTGGATAGTTGGCACAAAGCGTAGGGATAAAAGACTCCAGAATACAATCAGGGATTTTTGAGAGAAGGCGGAGAAAATATGAGTGAAAATCGAATCAATTAAATTTCAGGGCGACAATGACAACAATGAAAAGAATATCTGCAAAATTGTAGCAAAAACCGCCACAGTCAAAATACACAGTTTATGAAACAAACTTAAAAATACCAAGAGGGTTTAAAATCACATTTGTGGGAGGTAAAAGTCAGTAACCTCCGAGGACTTTGACTATTGATACATTGGAATGAAATAATTTCCATAATATTTAGGATCACCGTTCATCATTCATCTTTGCTTAGTATTTCCCCATCTGCTCGCCGTTGCCACTCACATAATCGGCGATGATAGCTCCGAGCGAATGCATGAATAATTGATACCAGAAACGACAGAATAAGTGCAGATATGAGGATAAACAAAACTGTTTGAAGCCAGCTTTGTTGCTAAAATTAAATTAGATAAATTAAGTCAACTGCGAAGGTTCTATAACATGCAAAATTTATAATTCAAGAATAAAATATTAACTACCATAAAATGTTATTATTTTTTACTGATACCTGTAGTTTCCCGCTATTATTATAAAATGTATACAAATCATTTTAGCAAAGGTAAAACAAAAAGTTTAAAAGAATACAATAAATTCATTGTATTTCGTCGCCTTCTCTTCAACTGCATACAGGCTACAAATTCATAAGATGTAAATAGAGAGAAGTAAAATCTACATAAAATTCACTTATTAAGAAAATAATAGTCCAGTTATCACATAATCAAGGAATCGACACAGATTAAGTGTTCTGCTTTTAAGTAATCGATAGGGATCCTGAATCAAAGTACTAATATATAGCACTTGTTTTTTACTCAGTACGGAACATACACACCGACATATCTATAATTAAATGGAATATTTATAAACTAAAAAATGAATCGCATGGTAAATTTACACCACAAATGAAAATGATAGGCTGTTATGGAACCTCATAGAACGGTAATTTTCTCCTAATTTATCTAATTACTTTCTCAACCCGGAGTTGCGTTATTCCCCGTCACACAAACACAGTGACTTTTATTATAACCTCTCAAAACTGAATATTATCTGCTACAACAGATGTTGGGAAGGAAAATTACAACAAATGTATATTAAAAACCCGACTGAGTGTTCACAGGTATGTACATGAAGAAATTATACCAAACCCAATAGTTAATTGTAATCCTGCGAATAAAATATTAATAACATGATCAATCGGCAATTCAAATATCTAAAAGTAGTAATTACTCACTCCACCGGACTCTTTGTTGTGCAGATTAGCTTTTTGCTGTTGTAAATATTCAAGGAAAGGAGCTTGTAGACTTTTACCATAAACTGGAATATGACTAGGAATAAAAATGAAACCAATGAAATCAACATGAGATATGCAGAGGAACAAATTATTTTCAAAATTACTCTATGATATAATGGTTTATGAAAGGAAGTTCTTAGTTATGTAAGAAAGCAGCTGAAAAATTACTCAGTGACGTTATAACGATATGGTAAAACTAAATTAAAATTTTAAGATCATCAATACCAACATAGGATCAGGTATTACTCAGTAATGGTACAAACTGCCATACCTCATATATCATATCAGCACATCAAGTAAGAAAGAAATAAGATGAAAGATGAAGAAATAAAGAAGAATCGGTCAAAATCAGTAGAAAGAAGTGAAAGAGAAGAAAGAGAAAATGCTGAAGTCAGTATAGTAATATGATCAAGATAAGGTATGGATACATCTGTGCCATTGAAATCGATTCTGAGCCATATTACCTAGTCTCTAACCTCTGTTTTTCGTTGTCACATGGACCCCAACCGATTAGTCTGCATCCCCCTATATGGCTCAAACCAACAGTCGAAGACTTCATGCGGTGATGCTATGCTTTAGTCTGTCCGCCACGAGCCACTTTTTAGCCTGAAACCTACTTCAGTTAACATTGCACGAAGAGGCAGATGGTGACTAGGCATGCATAACACATGTCCCAGACATAAATTTCCCCACCACCACCTACATTGATTTGTTGGAGCTATACGGTAGTGAATAGCGTTGCCTTAAATTACTCAGCGGTGATAATGATCTGGTAGACAAGATATGCAACAGAGTGATACCATTTCAAAAACTAAGTGGTACGAAGTACTTTCAACATGACCTGTAGGTTAGCTTCAACAATTTGTTTAATATAACAATGATAAATTTAAATCTAAGATATCTTATGGTGAGCCTTTATGACGCATAAAAGTCTTGTGTAACAAATAACAAGGTAGTGATGCGCAAGACGGATTTCTCAGTACTCTCATTTTTGTTAGTACTATTACAAAGCAAGTCGACAAATGAGGCATCATCAAATAAAACACTATTGGATATAATAATATTTACTATCTCCCTGATGTTTTCTGATGTGAAGCACGTTCCCCATCTTATTCAATTTTCAAAATAACCAATGATAACAACACTTACAGATTTTAACAACTTTTCTACAAATTATGTCAGTAAAATACCAGGAAGTAGTAGAAAATTTGTAGTCATGGTTAGGATGAACAAGCGGCTTTCTAGAATTTATTACTAACTTTAAGCCAACTACATAACCAATACTTAGATCTACAAAAATTATGAAATTTCACATACTTTCCTGTTCATGAACACAAAAAGAGCAAGAACAACAATTTGAGCAGAAAGACCTAGGCATCTTATCTTATAAGTATGAACTAACAAAGATATGCAAGCAGAATGTTTCATTGAGACTTATCCTATTTGATTATTAAAATATAAAGTGACTTGTTAGTTGGCGGAAAAAATATGAAAACATTTGTTTTCTGATACAAATTTAAAACAAACAACAAACGTAATTAAAGCAGGATTTATTGAATACATAAATTTCAGCGAGACTCGTCAACTTTATACTTAACATACATGATTTTATACATTGTTGTGTAATAAAAGAATACATGTGATGCTTTTGAAGTGAAGACGGGAGTGAAACAAGGTTGCCTACTATCCCCCATGATATTCCTGATTGTGGTGGACTGGATCATGCAACAAACAGTGAGGAGCGAGAAGAGGGGGATACGCTGGACTGCGGAAAAGAACCTAGAAGACTTGGATTTCGCCGATGACTTGTGCCTGATGTCACATAAACTTGAAGATCTACAGGCAAAAACTAACAAGTTGATAGAAGAGGCAGAGCAACGAAGACGGGACTTCAAGTGAATATAGAGAAGACAGAGGTGATGAAGATACTGCACCAACAACTCCAACAACAACAACAACAACAAACTCCAGTCACCATCAACGGGAGAAGCTTAAAGGAAGTAACCTCCTTCACCTATCTAGGAAGCACTGTTTCAACTACAGGCGGCAGTTGTGGCACAGACGAGGATGTCAAAGTCAGAATCGGAAAAGCAAGACAGGCGTTCATTAGCCTGAAACCAGTGTGGAGATCTTCTGCACTCAGCATGCGGAACAACATCCAGATTTTCAACACCAACGTCAAGTCAGTGCTTCTGAATAGTTCAGAGACTTGGTGCGTCACGAAAGGCATTTCCAATAAACTACAGACATTCATCAACAACTGCCTACGCTCGCTACTGGAGATCAGATGGCCAGAAAGAATAAGCAACAAGGTGCTCTGGGAACGAACCAACCAAGAACCTATCACTCAACAAATATGCAGTGGAAGGAAGTGGAGATGGATTGGGCATGCACTGAGAAGGCCGACTGAGGACATCACGCGTCAGGCCCTCGAGTGGAATCCCTATGGGAAGCGACGAGTTGGACGTCCGAGGGTGACATGGAAGAGGTCGTGCGAGGAGGAAATGCGAGCTTCTGGGCTGTCGTGGAACCAGGTTCAAAAGATCTCAGAGAACAGAGGTCGCTGGAGACGTGCTACTGAAGCCCTATGTTCCACTAGGAACCCAAGGGTCTAATAATAAAATAATAATAAAAGGAATACATACACACATGTTCCCTTAGTGTGAGCCTTTACCAAGCTATCTAGTCGACTATTAATTGTTGTATTCGAAATGATAGGATCCATCCCTAGTCTTTTTATTTTCTATTATCGGTTAGTTATCCCCTTCCAATCTAATCCTAACTCTAATAATGATGGATAGCGGCTAGCAGTGGAATCCAGGATACGCATTTCGTCCTATTTGGGACTCGTCAGCTGGATGTACCCGTCTCCCAGTGAATGATGTTGTTCCCACCGGGATTCCAACTCGGGACCGATCGCTTCAAACGCCAGAGCGTTATCCACTACACCACCGAGCCAAGATAGCCACTTCTTGTGCGACGAGTATAGTTTTAGTATAATTGCTAGGATGAAATGCCCATCCTGGATTCCACTGCTAGCCACTATCCATCTTTACTATAATTGAAACACAGGTAATATCGAGGCATCCCACAAGAACACATATGCCAATACAGACCGATCAATTCGGTCCAATCAACGACGGTATAATACAAGCAACTATACTAATCCTGGCTCTGTTTGACATAAGTAAATGATTCACTTCATATTGCTATGCCTTAGTCAATGTCTTAGTCCGTATCATGAGTATATGTATTCTTTTATTGCACAACAGTATACAAAATCATGTATGTAGAGTAAAAAGCTGACTAGTCGTACGGAAAAATGAGTCTGTTTATCAACGATTGATAAAATATACCTTAATTCACGGGTTCAAATTCTCTGAAAAATTGAATCGTATTAATGCGTCCGAAAAATTTAGTACTATCCTTTGGTGCAAATTCTTTATTCATCTATGTACCTCCTCATGAAAACACAGATAGTATTGGTCAGCACTTTGATCTACTTCCATTGCTGGTACCGTAGTTCAAACGCTTTTTACTAAAGTGTACCAATGATGTTCCAGTTTAACAAGTTTTACTGACAAATAGACGAGTGGAGATGAGGAGTCCACTACATCCCATTCTAGTGGATATCTTTATGGCAAACCTAGGAAGTACGAAATTTAAAGAAGTGATCGGAGAAAGATTTTATTCCACGTATATGGAAGACAATCTGAAATCACTGTGGAGATCTACTGCACTCCAGTCAGCATAAGGGTTTTAAAAACTAATTCAGTCAAGTCAGTGCTTATATGTGATGATTGAGAGACTTGGCGTGTTGCGAAAAACATTCCCAACAAACCGCAGACATTCGTCAACAGCTACCACCTACGCTCACTCCATACTGAAGGTCACATGGCCAGAATAATGAGAATAAGCAACAAGGAACTCACTCTGACTGGCAACGAACCAATCAAGAACCTATCGCCCAACAAATATTCAGAAGAAGGAAGTGGGGATGAATTGGATTGGGCATACACTGAGACGACTATCCAGGGACATCACGCGCCAGGCCCTCAAGTGGAACCCAAATGGGAAACGACGAGTTGGGCGTCCGACGGTGATGTGGAGGAGATCGTGTGAGGAAGAAATGAAAGCTTGTATGTAGTCGTGGAGCCAGGTTCAAAAGACTGCAGAGAAGAGAGTGAAATGGCGATGTGCTACTGAAGCCTTATGTTCCACTAGGAACCCAAGGGAAAAATAATAATAATATGTGGAAGACACGTTTGTTGTGTTCAATAGTGCTCATGCTAATATTTAATTCACTATGGAGCATGAGAATAATGGCAAGTTTCGTTTTCTTGACACTCATACAACATAGAAGAGATGGCACTCTTCAAAGGTCTATTTATTGAAAAAGTACGTATATTGGGCTGTGCCTGAATCACAGTAGGTATTATCCAGTGATTTTCAAACGGACATTAGTTAGAAACCTGTTTTACAGAGTAAAAACGATATACTTCAGTGAAAAAATGGATGAAGAGTAACCAATAATTGAGAAATGTTCAGAAACAACGGCTATCCGCAGTTTGTTAACAATTATAATAAGTGCGAATGAAATAATCCCGAAGATAACAATTGACAAAAGCCCAGTTATTTATTCGCCTTAAATTAAACGGCAGTGATATTACTGTGGCTCAGTGGCTTGAGATGGCTATCAACCACTGGGTCGTGGATTCGAGCCCCGCTTCACGTACCGATGTTCAGGCAGCCAGGTGGTAAGTATCACTAGCCCTCATACAATAGCTGTGGCTCATTGCTTACTGCATGAATGTGCACAAGATTGTTGAGTGGATTTCGATTGCAAACAATACGTTCCCTACTGCAAACAAAAGTTGACAGTATTCCTTCCTGTTACCTCTAACTGCGTGTATCCACTTATGCGCAGCTGCTAAATCCGGTACATTGGAAATACAGAAAGAATGGCTTGCCTCGAATTTTCCGAGCGTATCCTAAAGAGATTACAACTTAGAGGAAACAAAAATGTTCACAATGCAATCACCAGCCATATAGCATCATATCATCATCATTATCAACATAGGACCAGGCATTACTGCGTAACGGTCCGAGTTGCCACACCTCATATCAGCACATCAAGTAAAAAGGTAGTGAGGTGAAGGATGAAGATAAGTGAATGCAGTCAAAAGAAATATAAAGTATGAGAAGAAAGGAAAGAGGAGTGACAAAATAGTGAGATTCGGTATAGCGTTGTTAAGATGAGTATAGTGTGTGTATACATCTGCGCCACTGACTTCGGTTCTGAGCAATATCACCTAGGTCTCCAACCACTGGTTTCTCTTGTCCCGTGGACCCCAACCACCTAGTCTGCATCGTCCTACATGGCTTAAACCAACAGTCAGAGACTTCATACATTGGTGCCATGTTTTAGTCTGGCCACCTCGGGCCTTTTTCCAGCCTGGACCCACCTCAGCCAACATTGTGTGACGAGGCAATCGGTGACTAGGCATACGTAGTACGTGTCCCAACCATCTCAGTCGATGAAGGTTCACAGTCATATAGCTGTCAAAGGATATCCAAGTGGATGTACTGAAGTCTTTTAAGAATGAAGTAGCTCAAGCCTCTGAAAGTTCGCTCAGGTTTTCGACATCAAATGCATTATACCTAATCTATGACCTTGAAAAGAAGCCGTTACCCATCTATTTTTGACTTCATAACCTGATTGCAAACTTTTACTTTCAATAGTTCATATAATTCTTTTGTTAAATCTACAAATTAACTTTGGTTCTTAATTTGTTAAATCTTTTTTGATGAAGACCTGATTTGGTGTATTAACTAGTTGAGTTGAAATCACTCTATTTTATATAACCTCTCTAGTCAGTACAGTTACCTGTTGACTTACATCATCTTACATTCTAATTTCTACAGTGGTTTGTTTCACTCCTGTTAATTTTCAAGAATCTTTAATTGCATAATGAGGGTAAACATAGGACTGATATGCTCTTAACTTTCTTCAAAGTCGTGATTCCTTACTGCATTGTTGGTTTTTGTGTTCTGATAAGTGACTGAATGTTTATACTTAGGAAGTTAGAATATTTTAAACTTTACTATATCACATTATTTTTGATAATTATGGTTGTCAGAGGCTGAAAAAAACTGACGAAATAAAATGGCTTTATATTAGCCTACTTTAAACCGTTTTTATTTTTCTCAAAAAATTAATTAAAATAACCTGCATTTACAGCATCATTCAGATTTACCATCTTTCACAGCAAATAATTAATATTGTTGTTTCGAGATGGTATTTACCATCCGTTATCTTCAGATTGTTTATTCTCTTACACAACTTCCTCTACTACGACATTACTCTTTGTATCCGCCTGTTCTTTGTGTACCACTGTAAAGTGTGGCAACTTGAGCTAATGCACCTATGTGCAAGGTTCTATGTTGATTTTGTCAGTCAATGTAACAAATACGAAAAGCATACCACAAGATTTTGTCAAATAATGAGAATATTTGAGATAGCCATTGTTTGGTAGACTGTAGTTACTGATAAAGGATGATAGTTGAAAGCGAAATGGAAATTTGAGTCACGGAAGTACAATAGCCAGAAATACATGTGCATAAGAAACGGAGTAACCACACTAGTCTTAGTCGACTGAACCATAAAATCCAAATATTGGGACGAAACAGAAACTTGACAGTTGGAGAGAGATTTGAACTCATAAGTTAGAAACTAACTGCTTACAGTAATAACCAACAGTGTAATTCAAAATCTTGTTAACTCCCGACATAAGACAATTACTGCAGTCCCAAGAGATATTCTACTACTAACTTTTTACACGATATTAATACGAAACTTTCATGCAAGAACATGTCAGCGTTAAAACCACAAAGTGATACCATGCATAATCTTGGTAACTGCAGTCACATTCAAAATTCGAAAAAAAGGCAGTGACATTTTTCTAAGATTAGACAATATCAGGTATTTTAAATTGCTATATTGGTTAAAGATGTTCATGGCAATTTGAGACTGTGAGAAGAAAATTGAAAATAGGTTTGTTATCACATGGACCACTACATAGTCAGAGGGTTGAATATCTTTTAGACAAAAGTAATTGAGAGCATGACGATAGGGACTACCTGACACGTGAAACCGCGTGCACTGCGCGTGATAATTACGATTACACATTAAATGCCGTCAGGAGAGAAGGAGGAAGTAATATGAATCCTTAAAATATTGTTGATTAGGAATGTGTTCACAAAATCATCGAACCTAGTTACGCTCATTTAAAATATTCGCTGGAATTTGAAATAACGAAACGAAACGTACTCAGCCACCTTGTGCGTATCCACGGAGTAGGCGATGGGCCACACCTATTATGTTAGGGTTAGTGAACTACCTGGCTGCCCGAACCTCGATAGGTAGAGCGGGATTGGAACGCGTGATCCACTGATTGATAATTATTTCTCTTAACCAACGAAACAAACCAACACACCACCGCTATCGGCATTTTCTTTTATTAATGTTGGTAGCTACTGTGCACGGATTTAAATGCTTCAAGAAGGTGTAGAAGCCAAAAGAGCAAACATAGCGCGTAACCTATTACGAGAGGTGTGCAGCTCTGTATATGCTTCAGGAAAGATATATATGGATAGTACAAAATACACGAATCTCCTTTTCTTACCCAGATGAAATAATACTGAAACCAACCTTTTTCAGAAGTACTGCCTAACCACCCTCTGCTTTTGAAAAAAAATTTGTATCTAAGCGACTACTGACAGTTAACAATCATAAAAAAATATAAAGTCTGAAGAGAAAAATAAGTTACTCACCCCATAAGCTCAACCAACGTTTCAACATGGTGTTCTGAACTCAATGCGATCACAGTCAACTGTTGTAGGTGAACTTTAATAAGGGCTTTGCCGATAAAAGTTGCACCGAAAAATGACCAAATGGTACTAAAAAGTGTCCACATGTTACGCCAGCTAAGTCGAATAGTGGATTAGGAATCTAAATAAAAGTGTAAAATTATTTTGTATGATTAGCGTATAAACAGGATGAATATCAAGAAAATGTGTGTATGCACACACAGCTTTACTGTGGAAAAAAAATATATTACACGCTTTATGTCCAATATCTTCATATGCCTTAGATTACATCTGATGCGATTATTAAAGAAAGCAGCTACTCAATAGAAGTTGCTGACTTTTGATCAAACCTCACTCAGTCAACTAAGTGAATACAAAACAACAGTTGCTAAGACAAAATATAGAAAACTTTTTCGGAACACATAACAACGATTTTGTCTTTTAGAAAGGTAAATGTTTATTTGATAGTCTACGCATTGTAGCAAATATTGTAGTTCTGTACCGCGAAAAATACATCCCAATTAGTTCGATTCAAGTAATCTATTGACCAACCAGCCACCTAATTCAAAACAATATACTGACCACGTTATAGAACTTTATTTCCTAACCTTAAAATAGAAAGGCAAAGTTACAGACAATGTGAATACGTGTCACGAATTCACATGGTAATCGGGCAAAACCCTTGATAATTGAAGTGAAATAAAAATCTGGTCAGCAGTCACACCTCGTAGCTCAGTTGGTAGAGCACAGGGCCGAAATCCGGTGGTCGCTAGTTCGAATCCCGCTGTGGTCTAAATTTTCACTTCACCTTCATTCATCACCTAATATCAACACCAGCCTGTCAAACCACAGCTGTCTCAGATATTCAAAATGACAATTAAAACCAAATTAAAATTAAAACCTATCAACAGTCACAGAGATCAGAACGTTTAACAACTTTTAGTAACAAAACAGAGTGATTTTTAACCAATGAAAACTACCTGTATCACACTGTTCAATTTATTACTGTATATAAAACAGATGAAATTAACGGAAAGTATGATTAATATTTACAACACCCAACAGCACAAAAGGTCTGGTTCTTTCAACAAACTGATTCCATACGCCACAAATACAGTGAAAACAGATGCATTTTCACAACTACTGTTAATATGTGGGTGCCTAAACAAAAGAACAACGCTCAAGTACTTTATATCCCTTGATGAAAAACTAACTGATGCTAAACGAATGAAAAAAAGCGAAGATTGTAATCGATATATGGTTACTGACTTTCAAATTTTTAAGGACTTCGACATCAATGAATTCTACTTTTTGAGATTGTACTCTACCTTCTAGAAAGAATTTTTTGAAAATAACTTCAAATGTCCTACCAAATGACATTAGAAACCAGTCACACATGAGTACGTCACAAGAACAGCTCAATGGTAGTATGAATAAGCACGTCTACAATTACACCATTAAGTACGGTAACAATGAAAAGGATTAGCTGACCTTGCCTTTTGTGTTTAATTTCGTTATTCATGACCTTCTTTTAACGCAGCAGTAAAGGTGCAGGGTGACAGTAGCAAAAATATACTATTAGAAGAAAGTATTTTCAACCTTTAGTTTGCAAACACTTACCTCACTATACGACAATATATAAGCTTCTCAAATTGCACTTAATCAGTTGACAATTAGTATCTGTGTGATACGTGCTTTGCATAAAAAGGGAAATACTTTTACTGAATTGACAGGAGCTCGTGTGTGTACTTTTAACTGATGGAATTTTCTCTGGGTAGTTGCATGACTGATAGTAGGTGCGGGTGATAAGTGAAATTCCCGAAATCATATCGAAAGCCAAAGCGGAATACATCAATCTGAGTCCCATTTCGAGTTTGATGGCATTGAAGTGGTTGTGAAAGACCACATGTACAATGCATTGGTGAGTGCAGTTTTGCTATTTAATGCTGTGACACTATAACTTCCTTGGTAGGATCCGAAAGAAAATGTGACTCAGAAACGGTACCAGATATGATTCAAAAACAAAATCATTGGTGATTGTGGTGTGTTTTTGTAGTATATTCCACGCTTGGATAGTAAGAAACACATGATCTATTTACCATGGATCCCATTGTTACAATTTAAAGTTCCTACAGTTAACTGAATTACTGACAAATATAGACACTATTACTAAATAACCTCATCATCATTATCAAATTTCTCAAGTGTTTCAACCTGAAAGGTTGCTACACTCTCGTAAACTTTGGCGTAACTAATCCCGAAGATCATTAAAGATGCGAATAGTGAGAATGAAAGTAACAACTAACCAATGGGAAATGAACTAGGTTTAGTAATTGGTCCTTCTCATTTGAACACAGATTTTTAGGCCTTTTACATTCTCTGCGTAACTCAGTATATACAAACATATCGTTTAGAAGTAACGGTAAACTTCGATCTTTTCTCCATATGCATGAACGTCAAGGTGTTTTACTACCACGTTGCTTCACTAAAGCAATAAACAGAATCAGTGAAATCCAACCCAAAATATAGCGTTATTTTTCAACAATCCAATTAAAAATATTAGGCCGAAGAAATTAATGTTGTACAAGCACTTATGATAGAAGTATAAAGAAATTTGGAAATCTGATATACGGAAATTACCAGCTCCGTGTAACATTAGACTCAATTGCTAAGATAGTTTAAAAATAGAGTAATTATAGACCATCGGGTATATTTTGTTCAGATTAAATGCTGCGTAAAACATTACAAAATTGTTTACATTTTAAATCAGTAGTGAGGAAGGGGTGTGAATCAAATTTCTCAGTTACAATGCTTGAAAATGACAAACGATTACTCGTGATCAATGACCTAGCTCAAAAACAGCTTAACTACTCGCCACTAAACCTAAGTTTCTACTGAAAGAGACTCATCTGAATCATTTAACATGTACTAGTTATCTGAAGTTTTCTGGCTTAGAACATTACAGTGAATAGCAAATATATTGAGTGCAAAGAAATAATTATCATCATCATCATTATCAACATAGGACCAGGCATTACTGCGTAACGGTCCGAGTTGCCACACCTCATATCAGCACATCAAGTAAAAAGGTAGTGAGGTGAAGGATGAAGATAAGTGAATGCAGTCAAAAGAAATATAAAGTACGAGAAGAAAGGAAAGAGGAGTGACAAAGAAATAATAAACAGCATTTTACTCTTAGATAAACTCAGAATTTTTATAGCTCAGTATGAGGATGGTAACAGTTTAGTATTCTATCAGCCCTGATATTTAGCAATGGACATTTCGTTTAATTTCAAGAAGTTAGCGTAGCATGTGATACTTAACAAATCACCCAGTTGATTTGTCTGGCTGAACGACTATTTTATATTGGTTATATTGATAAAAGTAAGTTTTAGAAAAGTATTGGTTAGTTGAAGCTTATGGGTTTTCTGGTCAGTGTACGTACAGTAGCTCTATCGAATATTGCAACTACGGCGAGAAATTTAGAGTAGCCACTTGACGGCAATCAGTGAGAAGATCTAGACCTAAATTTTTCACTTCGTGATACTCATCAGCAACGTGTATTCGTAACTTCAAAAGAACTCATGCTTAGGAAATCCCAACTGGAGTCAAGCAGTGTTACTGTCAGGCATGTCACCACTGAGTTATTCGAATGTTTCGTCTTTCTGTGCAGCGAACACCTATATGTTCCTCACCAACCGATTAAAAAACAAATGAGAATGAACGATGAAAAAGATCTCACCTATTTAACCCTCAACATTAAGCGTCACCATAGTAGACAGGTTACACAGAACAGCTAAGTAGCTGAGAGCACATAAGAAGTCGTCAATAAACTGACTAGACAGTCTCCACATCTTCCTTAGAGAAAGACTTCATTACTGTATATTGGCAACCATTTATTTCCTTGTTGATGCTGCTCTACTTATCTCCAGCAATTTTCGTTTTAATTTCGACTTCTAAACGTGCATTTTTAAAAAGTTCACTAAAATACTGAAGGTACTGCACAAAACACTTGTGAGAAGGGTACAAGACCACATCATTTTTCACTGTTCATCGGGTTACACGAGGTGTCTCTGGTTACTGGGTTCGAATGATGTTGTCGGTCAAAACCACTAAAAATTTATTTTGTACCCAATTTAACCAGAAAAATGCTTGCTTGATTCCCATTCACAAAGTTTTGATACTGCTTACAATAGACTCGATTCCTTACTATGAGATTAGCGCCAAACAGTCATATTTTTAAAAACAGCGATATCCCTTGGTTTGATCAATCTTTATACTAGGAAACAAGATACAGAAACCAGTTGCTACTGCGTAACTTAGCTTATCAACCGGGAGTGACAAGCCCCGAAGAATATTATACAACTAATTATCTGTCCACATGAATTAATGCAGTGTCTCGCCTTTATGTAGTCCTGTCCAAGTCTCATACTAATGCAATCTTACCGCAGGTTACAAATGCCTCATAATATCGAAGTATCTGCATAGGAACCCATATGCCAAAAGAGAATGATCAATTCGATCCATTATAACAGCAGAGAATTACAAGTATCGACAAATAATAATACCTCATTAAATTTTGAGGGAGTTGTGGAGATTTGGAAATATTTCAAGTTGTTATTCATCGAAGACTGACATCAGTTGCAGGAACAAAGGAAACCTGGAAACATGGAGCATTGGATTCTGACCCAGTGGCTCAATGGTAACGCGCTGGCCGCGGAACCTGAAGGTCGCGGGTTCGATCCCTGCTGGTGGGGTCGTGGGTGCGCACTGCTGAGGAGTCCCATACTAGGACGAAACGGCTGTCCAATGCTCCCAGGTTTCCTTTGTTCCTCCAACTGATGTCAGTCTTCGATGAATAACAACTTGAAATACCTCATTAGATGGTTAGCTTTCCGGGCGTATTTCAATGTATTGCAAATGATAACTTTTTTTTTCTAAGTTCTTAATTCCGATAGTTAAATACTGTACAACAGCGTACAAACTAGATGAACACATTGAGCACATGGTGCCTTGGAGCAGAACCGCAGAAATGAAACAGTAATCCAAATGTATTCAGACTAAGATTAAACTACGTTTTGAAAAAATTGAGAACCGAGTTTATACGATTCATTGTGCTACATATCTTCAATTGCTTACATA